ACACACAGACGTTCAGCTTCATATAGATTGATGAAATATTCTCTACATTGGCTGCATGCTATCTCAGGTGCGCACTACAAGCTCTTCAAGCAGATTCCTCCACTGCTGAAAATATTTAGATGTTGTAACTAAGTCCATTCATGATTTGGGGGTTTTCAGGATGTCCATGAGCCATTAGGTCATTCGGAAAGTTTTTCGTTTTCACACCATCAAACTCATACAAGCATAGCTTTTTCCAGATCCAATCTTTATCCACCAAATAATTTCATTGTGTTCAGAAAACCTTAGGCAACACTCCTGTAGTGCTCTTGCGCTTTTCTCTTGCAAAATAATTCCATAGAAAACAGCAAAGCCTAAAAAGGCGTTTCTAACTAGCTAACTTTCACTGGGCCCTATTTTTTTTAATAGGTACCGGTGCGCCGTCAACATCTTTTGTGAGAGTCACCTTTCTTACAAGTGGTTTGAGGGGATTATGGGCCAGGATGGCACCTCCCAGGGCGGTTATACGTGCAAGTCTGCTCAGTTTCAAAATGACGAGCGGTCTTTAGAGCGATATCATGCTGTTCTGCTCTAACACTAGATGACATCTTGGCAGATTTATAGCGTGCAAGACTAGTAGGATCACATTGATTTGATTCCATCACCCTTTTGTAATGACTGACTGCTTATGACCGTGCTGTCAATGCTTGTTCCAAATGATTCAACACAATGTCGCTTCTTATGGCCGTACTTGGCTCAACTTTTGCTGTTAGTATCAGCCTAGGCTAAAAATAGATTGCTTCATCAATTCTGAGCAACGTAGATTGACACTTCGTAGCACTCGTAGCTTGAGGGAGCAGAGTCACTGCGCCCTTAATCTACGAGTGCGACATTTGTGGGGTATATATAGCTCATTTTTTCGGCATCGTAGCTTCAGCAAAAGTGGCTTTTAATGGGGCTATATGACACTTTAAAGCTTGCTATTAATCTTGTGCAGTTATTTTTGCTATTTGCTCTAGGAGACCTTCTGAGATGCTCCCTTATACGGCAGGAACACCTTCCAAATGCAAAATATTAGCTTTCAATACTCAAATCTGAACTATTCTCAAGAAAACTTCAAACTAGCTTTTGAAATGCGATTATTCAAAAATCGCGTTCTCATATGTCTAAATTGAAGCCGCATAGCGTCTTCTGCAATTTCGGTGAAATCCTTAGAAACTAGAAAACTTCCTCTACAAATCCATATATAGCGACCCCTATAAGCCCTTTTGCACTTTTTAAGACACCAACATCAAAAGCGCAAAAAGCCAAAAAACTTTTCGTATGACCTAATAGTTTATAGGATTTGGGATGCAGGAAGTTATTCTAAGAAAAGCTCAAAGTGTATGTTAAAGGGGAAATATTATAACGTTTCATCTGAATCGCTCCGGGTGTCTAGTTAAAAAGCTTTACGGGGATGGTCAGTATTCGAAGTGGACATTCAAGCAAGCTGCTTAGCATTCGATGCAGCATTCAACGCAGATTTTGGAGCTGAATTCTGTATCTGCTTAGCACTTTGTGGATGTAGTTATGAGCAGTTCTATTGCGGAAAGTCGTACATAAAATTTGTAAAATTGAGAAATTCTTCCAATTTCAGCTTAGCTTTAGACTTTAAGAATATAAAGTAACCTAGCTGCATGTTTTGGCCAAGCATCCATCCGAACATGGGCTTGTACTGTCAGAGTTGCGCTTAGGATGCACTGTTTCCTAGCAAAATAACGACTTTTAAGGCTTATAACTTCGTCCACAAAGGCGCTATGCATTTACGGAATACACTTCGAAGTCAGCGTTTATGTTGCATCTAATGGTATGCAGCTTGTTTGGATTGGCCACTTCAATTTTGATCATTCCTTTGTTAGCAAGGCTCGGCACTGGTGGCTTTCAGGGCAAGCTGGATATCGTTTTGGAATAAAAAGCAAGGAGAATACTCGTTCAAGCAAAAATTTCAGCCTTCCCCCCCCCACACAAATACGATCGCCCTCTCCCTTTATGTCACCTTTCATCTTCTTTAGAAAACGCAAATTGTCATTTCTGCCTTACCAATACCTCTTGCAAAAACCAAAAATTTTCTGCTTCAACAGATTCGCCACGTAAGCGCGCGAATTGGAACCTGCAGCCCCAATTTTAACAAAAGGCTTTTTACATCGAAGAGAAAAGGAAAGGACCTCAAAGTTGGTGTGTAGATAGACAGACTATGTAAGAATATAAAAAACTATGTGAACTGAAGGCGTGGCAAACTTTTTTCGAAGTTAGTTGGCTTTCCAGCTACCTAATTTATGACTTTTCTTTTTACAGCCACCTCAGGTGGCTGTACCCCAAACTGGTGCCATCGCTGCGTGTTTCTGACTTGGTTAATAGAGAGATAAATTTTCATAAATATGACATAGGCATGAGGGGAACGGAACTTACCTATCCGAGATATTTTCGCACTTCATGGGTGTGTGTCTGCGGGGTATAATTGGGCATAGCGAGCTCGCTGATTCCAGATGCTCTTTAAGATACAGCGCTAAGCTAAGCCCCGCCCACACATTGCACCTTTTTGGCAAGAACCAAGACATGCCAGAAAACCTGGCAATACCTGAGGACATCGAGGCTGGCTCAGCGCCAGAATGTGCTAAAAGATGGCTGCGAGGCTCAAAATAGAGCTAATGGAACGAAAAAAAAGGTGACCATTAGGAGGATTAGGCATATGAATGGAACATGTTTCGAGAAATTTTGTAAGTCATATAAAGCTGTCATAGTTATAAATATATTAACTATATAGATAAAATATTTAATTCACAAAAATATGTGCAGCGCCCTGTACACATTGATCGTTTGATAGACTAGCCGACCTTCATAGTCTTTAAATTAAGGTTACATCCTCAGACCATGTTGTTCTCACTAGAAAAATGAGTCATTTTGTCAGACGTTCCGAGAGAAACAGTGAAAAAGCACTTTTACATGCTTTTAGAGCATGCTTTATTTTTGTTTGTCGAGATTTCTTTAGCTGAAAGTCGAATTCACCGAATTAAAAACTCGGCTCTGTAAGAGAAGACAGCGCAAAACCAATTGCATAATTGAAAAGAGCGCCTCAGAAAACCCCTAAATCCGTATTGCAACTGAAATCGAGCAGATAGTTGCTGAACATCAATTTTGTGATTTTATTGAATTCCCGGTTTTGTGATTGATGGATGCATCGCGAAAGAGTCGATGGATGGGGGCGGGGCTTAGAATACACACAGATTAGGCTCCGTACACTATGCTAATTGCGTATACCTGACTGCTCATAATACCTAAGGTATGCTGCGGCAAGTCTTTCGGGTAGGTAAGTTCCCGCACCCAGGCATGAAATCGAGGGATAGGTGAAACTGGAGGAGGAGAAGGGAAAGGGAAGAGGGGATGGGATTGAACTATTGTATTAGGTTGTTGCAAAAACAATGTCCCTTTTTCTAGACCTATATTCCAAACAACTTTTTTCCCATCAGACTTTCTTTTTCGATATAGCATCTGCATATCATTGGGAAGCTCTCTTCATGTACTTTCTCATGGCGGTGAGATTAAGCTGCTATTCTCACTTGTGAGAATTTCACCAGCATTTTTCAGATCCGCACTCAAAATCAGAATCTCATAGCTTCCACTTTCTTGACCACAATTCAGGAGCAAACAAACGAATTCTCTTGAAAACATAGCAAGTGGAATGAAGATTGTTTACCTACTGCGTGCTTATGTAGATTTTTGGAGAAATGTGGACTGAGAAATTGACGCGTCAAAATAGACACTAGCTGCTGGCATTCTATGGGTCAGAAATTTTTCATAATTAAGGCAATCGCCATTCGCCCATTTCTGTAAGCTTGAAATTAGCACACCTTAACTACATTATTTGAAGAGAAACTTAGCTATTTAGTGCGCGAAGAATTCCAAATTTTCATAATTAGGCACTTACAACCCTACAACAAATAGGCTCAAAAAAGTGAACATTTTTGATTTTTATCTCTTTTCGCAGAACTCCTTCGTTGCAGTTCTTTCTATACAGACCTACACTATTGGCCTGCGGCTGCAAAATAAGCTAATTAGCAGACATAGGGACAAAGCTTGAAGGGAGTTGTAAGCTCTTAAAGACGAGGTTTTTACGAGAAAAACTTTCAATTTTCTGACGCATGGTTTTCTTCCCGTTTGCGATATCAGTATGGGCAGGGGCGCGCTAGGTTAAGAAAGGTTTGATGTCTTTATTGGTCTTGACAGCATTCAAATTCAAAAATATAGAGACTGAACGAAGTTATAGCCTTCCAAAGTGAAAATTTGCGAAACGGACATTATTTTTGCAACAACCTAATACAACTGGCCAGTCCCTGAAGTCTTTTATGCCACTGATTCAAATTGTTCAATCTTTGCTTTCTAACCTCGCAGCGCAAACAGCCGCTCGTATGCCATCTGCAGTGCCCCAGCTTTTGGGCATTTGAATGAAAGAGCAAGTGTGCAAAAGCACTACAATCGTTCTATCTCTTGATGAGCAGGTATGAAATCTTAACTGCATTGTAAAATGCTCAGAATGCCGATTGCGAGTACCCTTTTTTCAGGTGTATAAGCCGCACCCTTTTTGCTCTAAACGCGAGCAGACCCAAGCGTGCCGCCTCGCGAAGCTGTCGCTTTATCGCATACTGCTCTCACTTAACGCGCTCCATGATGACAGCCAGTCTTTTGGCGTGTTCGCCTGTAGAGCGAAAAGGGTGCGGCTTATACACCTGAAAATAGGGTAACTCATATATAAAAATTTTTATTTTTAAAACAGTTTCCAAAATATGCAGCCTACTCATGAGAAAAATGCAACGATTGTTTGAAAGCGAAAATTTGCATAAACAATTTGCATAGACGAAAGTAATGTACTTGAAATGTAGCTCACCATTGTGCAGACATGTGTAAGACTATTACTGCGTTTAGATACACACACCTGTTTGGTTAAAGTTACTGATGCAACAGTATGGCTAATCTTTTGATTTCAGATTTTACAAGTTTGGATGCGTAGGTTTTGTTATTGCTCATGAGTTCATGCACGCATTTGGAAAACATGGTAAGTCATTTTTTCTTGATTCAAAGGGCAATTCAAATAAATAAACGAGTTTATCTGTTCATGAATCTTTTTGTTCAACGAAACAACACTGCTGTGTTTGCACAACATTATTTCTTCGCCCTCTCGTTAAAGGCAGTGGATAGGCTTGAAGTTTTTTTGCTTACCTGGGGTAATTTGAGGCGCTGTTCCGAAGATCCACCTTGAAGAGCACGAAAATGGCAAAAACTACCATTTCTCAAGGCCTTCAGTTTCGAATTTGGACGAGTGAAGCATGCACCGCCAATTTTAGAGAGGCAGAATCGTTGTGGGACCCTCGCAGTATAACATCGCGGCATGCCTTCTCTGACGGGTCAGGGAGAATCGCAAGCATGTCCGCGCATGATAGAATGGCTTGCGCATAACGGGGTTTTCATTTAAACCCGCGGTGGAGGCGAAGCTGAGCACGCCTAGTATCAATACTATATATTTTTGGCTTGATCACTTTTTGTACTTTCACCCAAAAAAGATAGAAGGAGTAATGGGATCTGAACCAGATTTGGCAGACATGTATGGGGTGGAACGTGTGTTAATAAGCCATATTGTTCGAAGTCCACCGGTTGACTCTATCGATTTAATGATTTCATGGAGTTTTTCTCTGAAAATTTTATATGTTCACTCAAAAAGGATAGAAGGAGTAATGGGATTTAAACTAGATCCGGCAGACAATGTATGGGTGGGGCGTGTGTGTGTGCCATTTTGTTCGGGGTCCACCGTTCGACTCTATTTTGTTGATCAATACTATATATTTTTGTATGTTTTTCCAAAAAGTATAGAAGAAGTTGTGAAACTGAACCAAATTTGGTGGACATATGATAAGCAATTTTGATCAGGACTTACCGTTCCATTCTATCGATTTATAGATTTTTCGACAGTTTTGGCTTAGAAAATTTTGTATGTTCGCCCAAAAGGGATAGAAAAAGCCAAGGAATCTGAACCAAATTTGGCAGACCAAATGAATGGAGTGGGAGTGTATTAATAAGCCATTTTACTTGGGATTGAATGTTTGGCTTTAACGATTTATTGGTTTTTTGCAGTTTTTGCTCAGAAAATTTTGTATGTTCGCTGAAAAAGGATAGAAGGAGCCAAAAAATCTAGACCATTGGCAGGACTAATGTGTGGGAAGGAGCGTGTGGTAATGCGCCTTTTGGCATCGCCTTTCGGGACCCTGGTTACCTCTACTGATTCATTGAATATTCCAGTTTTTGCCTTTCAAATTTTTTCCGCCCTGAATATAAAAAGTTTTATTCATTCTAAAAACGCATGTGTTCTAAACACCGCAGAAAAGCATAGGCTACCTTTCGCGGCAATTTGCTGCGCGTTTTTATCGTTTTTATTGAGATTCGGTTTCAAAGGAAAATGTCTTATTAGCAACTTTAATCCAGTATCTCCAGAAAGATAAACAAGAGGGGTATAGTACATTTCATACGCATTTGAATGATGCGAGACGTGTGTTCAAATTTATTTTGTTTAAGACATACCATTGCTTTCAAAGGTTTATCAATTTTTTGCAGTTTCGCTCAAAAGTTTTCTGCCGACCCAAAATGTTTGAAAAAATTATGAGGTCTAAACCGAACTTCGCGAACATGAATTTCGTGGTGGACAGATGTCACTAAGCTTATATCAGTCTCTTGTCGTTTTTGTTTCATTGACTTCTGCGTTTTTTTTCTTAGCCATTTGTTATGGCTAACCCAGAATGCTAGAAAAAATTATGAGACCTGAATCAGACTTTGCATGCATAAACTTCTGAAAGGGTCTTTTGTCAGTGAGCCATTTCCACTGATATAGGCTTAATCGATTTACTAATTTTTCTTACTTTACACTCTTGGGGCTTAAAATTGGCAGGAAAGGATAGGTAGGCGAGTTAATATTTACGAATACAATTTCTATTGCTTCAATTATTAACTTTCTCAACCTATTCATTATTTTTTCCTCTAACATTCTCGACAACTGATTGATATATGACTAAGCATCAATATTTTTCTCAGCGAGATTCATCGACAGCTAAGTTTATCAAAAGCAGAAATTTTACTCACCCATAGGATTAAGCATCACCATCAACCATATTAATCCAATGACAGTCAACGCCCTTATATCCCACCCCCCATGTTTTCCTCATTCCATGACGCCTTTCTCACTTCCTTTAAATGCTTCCACTTCCAACACCGTGATACCGTCATTTACCCTATTTGGGACATGAAACACATGTAAGATGAATGAAAATGAACAAGTGAACATGTCTGCGACATGGACACAGACCTTAGCATGTCATAGGACACATCCAGCCCTTCTGCGTTATTGACTGTGCATTGTCTGTTGCTTGGATTACTGACACAAATTTGTTTGAGAGGAAAGTGCGTCCTCGATCATCCTCCTACATAGGTTAAACAAAAGTGTTTCGCAAACTAACACTAGCAAATTCTCACATTTGCACAACACAGAGTGTAACGAAAATACAGGAAAGCGAAGCTGCAGAGTACCAGCCGAACCTGCCGCGTAGCGGCAGAGTGCGGCGGATTCTATATACAGGGTGTCCCAAAAGAATGTATGCATTGTTTTCGTTAATATCTCTCTTCCCAATAAGTCTTTTGCCTTGCTTCAGATACCCTTTTGTAGAGCTGGCTTCAACTTAGATTTGCAGTATAGAACGAATCACACATCTCTCTTCATTACTGTAGGATTACGGTAGAAACTTCAAAGAGGGTTTTGAGCCATAAAAGGCCATTTTTGCCTCATAAAGGAATTACAACAGCATGAAAACTTTTACGCTAAGCTAATTAGAGTTACTGATTCTAAATGTAAAGTTCCCAGCTCATTATGATGCTTAATTGAAGAGTTATGACGGGTAAGAGGTAACGGCCATTTTTTCAATGTTCCTAAAAAGTCCTTTTACACCGTTTAAAAAGCTTCGCAATCGTGTAAATAGTTGACTATCGAACTCAACGTCCACACAAACCCTATTATTTCACATTTTTTGAAAAATTTCGAGACGGCAGCTTTTTCCATATTGACACCATATGTTTCAACTTTCTACCGTAATCCCACAGTAATGAAAAGGGAAGGGTGAATCATTCTAGATTGCAAACCTAAGTTGAAGCCAGCTCTACGAAAAGGTACCTGAAGCAAGGGAAAATACTTCTTGAGAAGAGAAATATTAACGATCAAACAGTGCATACATACTTTTGGGACCCTGTATTTGAGAGATGATATTTGACCACAGATCACGACAAATCACTGCCCGTTATCTACTTACAGCTTCAACTAATTTGAAAAAATAGGAACTTACTAATGAACTTTTCAAAGAGTAGCGGCTTTTAAGGCTTTTGTGCGATTATGAGGTAAGTTTGAATCAGCAATTTCTTGGCATTATTGTCCATTAAGAGGGCAGCTTAGTGGGCAAATGGAAAGGAGGGCCTTTTCCAACCCTGAGGAAAAAACCTCTGTTTTAGCTTTTGTGAAGAAATAGCCCTTAGAGCAAGAAATGAAGTACGGCCATACAGGTCGACCACACTAATCGAAAACGCATGCTAATCATTTTTTTTGAAAAATTTTTTGCTGCGTCTTCTCCCGTTCCAGCTAGCGGACGGCACGAGTCCGTTTCTAAGCTTCTTGAAAACGAAGACTCCGCTGACTTTCAAAAATTGAGTTTCCCTTGACCCTTGCTGTACCCCCCCCCCCTCGAAGTCTTGAGTGAGCTCAAAAAGTCTGAGAGAAGCAAAATTTTGAATGGAATTCTATAAGAGGGCAAAAAACGGTATACATTGGGCTATACGAAAATGGTTTCATGCTCAGGGGTAGATTCCTGACTGAAGCATCTGTTCATTGAAGAAAAATTCAAATAAGCGAACTTCCAAAAAATGCTCCGTACGATCTCAGATCGTATGGTGGCCGTCTGGGAACAGACTAATTTTGGAGAAAGTATTAGGTCACATAAGTTTTCAAAACTTTCTGCATAATTCTCTCCTTAAGATTTATATAATACAAATTTGGTGTCAAAAGCTTGTGTCTACGCTCTAAACAAGCATTTGTTTACATTAGCCTTGCTTTCAAATCGCGCGCGCTTTTCGCAAACCCGACGGGGCAGTCATTCGTATGATAACCCGTTTTTGAAGCTTTTCGACTAAATGGCGCTTATCCTTGATGCTCGACAACGCAAACCCGCAAAAACGAAATCCCCTCTGCGTTTTCGCGTTAAAAACGAGGTCCAACTTGCTTCCATACAATCTGTACTCTAGTTCCAGCCTTTTGCCACACCAGAAAAGTCCTTAAATCTTCAAGGCTATCAGCCTATTCCTATGTAAAAAAGAATAGCGAGTGTCTGTGTGTAAAAGGTATGTTACGCATCGACTGCGTAGTGTAAACCCATTGCACACATCTCCTGTACCCTTACGTATTAAGCTTTTCTGTAGCAATTTGTTGAGTATCATATCGAACTAATTTTTAAATTTTGCAGAATGATTTCCTATCAACTGCAGTCATTCAACTTTTCACATTTTATGTACACTACAGTAAAGTTCACTTTCATCCCATGGAATGAGTGTGTGGTTACTCAAAGTTGAATTGTGTAGCAGATGAGCCCCTGCTGACAGCGAGCGCGGCTGCCTTTTGAATTGCTTCAAAGAAACAAAAGGCAATGGTATATTAGCAGACTGCGCAAAGCAAAAGATAAGCTCCTTCTCAGATAATTGCCGAAGGCAGGCGGTTGGCAAACTACCGCTTTTCTGCAAGCGGTCAGCAAAATTTTGGAGCGTGTCTAGACCTTCAGCAAGCGGTACTTCCGTGTTCTGCCGGCGGGCAGCAATACAGAATTCTGCGAGCGCTCGTCAAATAATTTTTTTCAGCAAGCGCTGGCCAGAATTCTAGCAGGCGCTCGGACTCTTTTTACTCAGTTTCAGGAAAACGCCAAGCAAAGGTAACATTTTACATGGTAAAGGTGTCACCGATGCTTTATTTAGTCGAGTTTGAGGTATTACGGGCTATGTGTCCACGAAGGACCTCACGGCTTTCAATAATTTTGCATATTCTCGCGGAAAGTCCGCGAGAATGCGGCTACTGCGCCGCAACTAATATATGAAAAATTCGCAGTGTTTTCTTTGAGCATGGTCTGAATTTGGCCGGCATTCTTCCAGATTTTTGCAAGTGAACCGCAAGAAATCAGCGGACTATATTTTTAATGCTCGCTTGCCCATAAATCGCATGACCGCCTGCTCCCGACACTTTTCTGAGTAGTGGAGGCGAAAAAAAATATTCCTTCTTGCTAAGTGTAATCTTTTCCTTGACATTCAAACTGACACCATAATCGTGCAAGACCGCGAACGCCGTTTGGTCACCATAAGGGGAGTCTCAATAGTAATTACACGCTTTTTAATCCTTAAAAACTCTCTTCCTACCAAGCCTTTTTATAGGTTCAAGTACCATGTAGACGGGAATATTTAACTTATTGTTAGATTTGCAGTGTGGAGTAATACCCATCGCCGTTTACTCTAGGAATAGTATGGACTTCCAGCATAGAAAGCCATCGTAAAATAGATGGTTTAGATAAAAGTTTTAAAAATCGTGTAGCAAACTTCATCAGACAACTGTTTATGGTTTTTCAGTTTTAAATGGTTCTATTACGATTTAGAAAACACTAAAAATCATCGTTGCGATTTACTTAGCATAATTATGAACAAAGCCTTACGGTGAAGTGCGATTTTCATATCAATAATCAGCGACTCAGTTCAGCCTAATTATAAAGCTTTCGGACCGGCATCTATTTTAAAAATATCTAGCCACTTACGGCTCGTTCAGAATAAATCGCTCCATAATAAATCAAGTTGAAGCATCCTCTATTGAATGCTAATTGAAGCTAAGGAGAAGGCTTATTGAGAAGGTAGTTACGAACGATTGAAAGTTTGTACTTACTTATGGGACACCGTGTATATGTAGGCATTTGACCTCCTCTCCTCCCCCCCCCCCTGCCCCAACTTTTCATGCGCTAGCTTACAAGGAAAGCGAGTTTAGTCGGAGTAGCCTTTTTAAACGAGACTTTGGGGAGTATTGTACAATGATTCCAAATCTGCCTTCATCATCTGTCAAGGCCTTTGGACGCTGAGTAGTTGGCGTTTTTCGGGTCAAATTGAACACCAAACGGAAACAAAATCGCCCAAATTTGCTCAAATGGTCTGGTGTCGAGTATAAGACCAGTTATGGATACGCTTTGTCTTATACACTAATACTTAACACTGCTTTATCTGAGCGCTGGAAGATCGTAACAACTCAATTTACCTAAACTTTGCATCCATTTTTCAAAAAAAATTTTTCAACGATCATAACTCGGTGCCCAGAAGGCGCTCGGCAGATAATAAAGGCAGATTTGGGGCTAACGTGCCATGCTCTTCAAACTGGCATGAGTCTCACTTGAAAACGCCATTTCGACTAAAACAGCTCCCCTTATCAGCAAATTTTCGAAACTCCGTAGTCTGATTGGACATATTGGTGGATGAAAGAAACAAAATTATGTTGTGTAGCGGATTCTCATAGAGCACCATTATGCCGCCTTCTAAACGTAAGAGATGCTGAATGTGGCTCTTGGAGCGTCTTGAAAACGATTAGATGGAGATTTTCAATAGGCGTAGACTCAGCTATGCGGCACTTGATTAAACTCTCATACGACTACCGATCTGCAAACAACGTCCAAGGCGAATTGCCTTGTTGAAGCATGAGCTTGTACACATTTTGATCCGAGGCAATTCATCCTCTTCGGTACTTTGAATCATTGCATATGTTTATGCAACTTGCCTTGTCTTTACTCAGTGACAAGAAACCACTTTTTGACATGGTGCGTCAACCATCATCAAGTTAACATCAAGAAAAAAAGAGAAAAAAGAATTGCGATAATGGTCTTTTTTCATTCGTAAATAAAACTGCAGATTGAAAGGACGTAAATACATATACATAGTGCATATATACTCAGACAGTAACTCGAACGGCGGGCCTTTATGCTTTGCCGGGCGGACAACGAGCCGTAAATTGTTGGGTGGTCTTGTGCGGGCGAGAAGCGCGCCTTCGATACCGGCTTGCATGCGGCGAACTTTGCAGAGCGGGCGGGCGGCGTGCCAGCATTATCATAGTCCTTATCTTGGATCATTCTACATTTTCTCTTTGGTTGGTGTTTACTTTTGTCAGTACTGTTTCCATGGCTTGCTCGCCATCTTGAGCTGCTAAAATGATTATGAATCAGCCGTTGTCATTCACGATGGTCCTCACAAAATCACATGAACGTAACCTTAGAAATAGGAGATGAAGGTAGTTTCTGATGCGAAGAGGTGAGATATGAAATTCAGTGAATGACAAGTGGCATCAATTTCAGAGAGCCTATCTTCCGGAGAATGCTCTAGGCAATAGTTGCTATCTTCAAAAGATTGAGAGATGACAAGTGAAATAAATATGAGGTGAAAAAAGTTTGGAACGGGAAACGTAGTAAATGAATGGGACGTAGAATATACTTGATGTATTTTTGCATAAATCGCCACACTTCTGGGTATCCGAATGAAATGCGGCCAAGCTGATTCCGCGACACTTGCTACATGGTTCGCTTTCTATATAAAACTGAAAATTCGATATGTACCCTATTCAGCTTTCTTTCAGAAATTTTCTGCTTTATCGTATGGTGCTCTAACAAAGGTAAACTAAATTGGCATCTACTGCCACGTATTCCTACCTTGTATCTCACGTAGTGAATCTTATATAAACCTACTCTGTATTGCATTCTTGTAGTATGAGTACAATACCACTCATAGAACATGCAAAATTTCTGGGAATTCCGCGAAATTCCGGGAATTCCGGAAATTTGGCGAAATTCATGTGAATCACGCAAATTACGATCTCGAGGATCTTTCGAGTTGAACATAAAATTCGCGACCACAGTGTCTTACAGTCACTTGGGTGGAATTTTACGAAACAGGCGATCTTTTCATTTTGGGCAAATCATGAGGACGTAATATCGTATGCCCGTAACTCGACGATTGCTACAGATTGAAACCAGATGCATGCACCGTTCAATAGCATGCTTTCCAGTGAATTTAATCTGCAAAAGCAAGCAAGCAGACTTTCTGAGAGGTGCTCGAAAAATGCAGGCCTACGAACTTGCTTGGCTTAGCTAAAGTTCTCTCACCATATCTCTACTAGAAAGCCCTGTACTCCGCGCAAAAGACGATTATCGTAAACAGCGTGTCCGAGAACCTTTTAGAGCGATGTTTCCTTATAATCCAAGATCATCGACATTTTGACCAAAACCCATCGGCGAGCTTCAGGGCGTAGAATGAGAAAAAATCAAATCACCCGAATTTCTTTGAAACTTGCTTATAGAAGTTATCTGGTCTGCAGATTACGAAAATCACACCTGCTTAGCAGTAGAGCTTCCCATTTTAGGGTCACGGTGAGCAGAGTTTGAGACAACACGATTTTTCCAGAAATTACCAGCTCTTCTATCTTTTTTTCAAGAAGATATTCTGGTTGCTATTGAGTGCTCGATAATCTGCGGAAGCAGCACAACCCAAAAGTGTTTATGGGAGTCTTTCATGTTTGATGTGCGCTGCATTGCGGCCTTGTGTATATACGCGCGCAGAAAATTGAAGAAAAATTGAAAATGGAATTTCAAAGGACATGCTGTATACAGTAAGGTTCGCCTTGACGAGACGAACATGCTGCTTTCGGATTTCGAAGATGTTCTTCTGAAGGAAGTTACGGCAAGTAGAACTTGGAACAGCTTGGTTTTTCCAGAGTTTATCAGCTCTCCTATCTCTTTTAAAAGAGAGTCTTCGGCTGCTGTTTAGCGCAGGATAATCTAGTAAAAAAGTAGTAACGAACGGTGCCCATCACAGTCTCCTATGTGTGATGCTCGTTGCGTTACACCCATGCGAAGAGGCGTCGGCATGCAAATTCAAGATTATTGAAAACAAGATATTGGAGGCAACCTGTAAACCAAAAGATTCGCCTTGACGAGCTGAATACAATGCTGTTTTGGGCTTTTGAATATACTCATTCGGAACGAAGTCATGACCCTGCCTAATTTGCGTGATTCACATGAATTTCGCGAAATTTCCGGAATTCCCGAAATTTCGCGGAATTCCCGAGCCCGGAAATTCTGCACGTTCTGTGAGTGATATTGTTTAAGTTCGTTAATTATAGATTTTTTAAATTAAATTACCCATCAATATATGTATGAACAAATCAGAATGTGTTTTTACCAAAACAAGTGCATTATTGTCGCAGACCGCAGGCTGTAGACATGGAGTGCTGCAAGCAGCGCACGGTATAGCCGAGTAGGCTGAGGAAAGGCATGATTAGTCGTTCGCTCAAGGTATTCCGCCCGAAAACTTCATTGTCTCTTGCGGGGAGCGGCGTTTTTCAAGGGACGGACGGCGAGAGGCATGATCGCTCGCCCGGTAGAGGCACTGCGTTCGTCCGAATTATTGTCTGAGTACTCTCAAAACAGCGGCCTACTCCCTGTGTAAAAGAAAAAGGCATAATTTGACTTTATACTATGCCTGACATCACATAGTTCGGTGTTATGATAATTTTGATAGAAACAATTACATTGACGTACCCATTTTAATCTTTGCTGATATAAACTTCACAGGTTAAATGATAAGTACAGTATTGAAATCAAGCTTATTTGTTTTCACGACGATATTTCTGGATCGTCAGGGAATTTTGCAGCAATGCGTAATGAGTACGGCAAGCTAGACAATAGTTTACCAGAAGATTTTCTTAGAAAGCATATTTTGAACATGGCGCTTATGCAAACAATGTATGAAGAACCCCTGAAGGTAAACTGGCTTTCTTTTATTCCAACACTCGTTTTGTAACAAATTGTCTTTGCAGAAATTAGGCTACTCTGAAGACAAAATGCATAGAACTACAGAGGAAAATTTTGCCGATACTCAAGGAATGAAGTTAATTTACAAGGTAATTTTTCCAAACTAATAGGTTTGAGGTAAGGTGTAGCTCAGCAAAATACTGTTTCAATAAAAGTCATACAATATTGAACATCAATCGTTTGAGGTAAGGTATAACCAGAGCTCGGCATGAGGTGGACAATAGGATTTTTCAAATTTTCAAAAACGAATCCCCGTAGACTTTGCCGCAAGAATACGACGCCTATGACGCGACCATGAATAGATAGAAACGAATAACCAGAAATAATGGAACAAAACATGAAGAAAACATTGAAAAGACGGAGAAGAGCTGGAAAGGAGGTGAAAATGTTATCCACCGAATTGGCATGCTGTGTCCACGCGCACCCTTATGCGCTTGGAACAGACTTGCTGGCGCCATACAAAATCTGTGGAGTGCTGTAACTAAGCGGAGAAGAGGAGGTTGAGGGAGGTTCAAAAACTAAGTCGTAGGGTTTTTGATGTACAACAAAGTTAAGTCAAACAAGTGAAAAAATTATGTGAAGGAAAGAAAATTCATAACTTTTTCTTTTAACAGCCACCCCAGGTGGCTGCCCAGATGGCTGGAAAGCCACCTAACTCTGAAAAGTTTGCCACGCTCTTACTTCACTTGACATTTTCATAACTTTTCTCACGTAGTCCTAACTCCCTATTACCCATCTACAGACCTTCGGTGTCGTTTCATTTTCTCTTCGCTGTAAACAAAGTCTTTTAGATTTTGGGGCAAGTTTGAACCCGCGCTAAACCGGCGAACCTGTTAAAGCAGGAGATTTTGATTTTTGCAGGAATGGGATCGGTAAGGCAGAAGTGAAATTTGCGTCCTTTAGAGAAGATGAAAGGTGACATGCGGGAAGAGGGCGATTGTTTGTGTAGGGTTGGAGGGAGGGGCTGGGGTTTCCGCTCAAACGATATCCTCCTTGCTTTTATTCCAGAACGGTGTCTAGCTTGCCTTGTAAGCCACCTTTTCCGAACCCTGGGTGTAGCTTAGCAATTACTGTTTCAGTGAAGGTTATACGGTAGTGACTAATAGGCATGGTAATTGCACTACTCCTTTGTTGTTTAAGAAAACGTGTTCGAACAGCAAATGTAGGCAGCTGCTGACATATATCGATTATCTGAATTTCTTGTGCTTGGCTTTTTTTAGCCTTCGTGACTCAGTTCTTCTTGCTTTCGGTGGTACGACCGGGAAACGGCAATCAAAGCGTGCATATCTTATATATAAAGCTGAATGTGTGTCTGACCGCTTGTCTGTATGTCTGTATGTCTGTCTGTACGTGTGTACTTACGTTCCGAATAGAAAATTCCATTTCTTAACCGATCCGGACCGAACTTGGCACACATGCACTTTGGGGCGGGCGGGTGTCATGTCATAGGCACTTTTCATTGTCGATCGATGTTGATTTCATCAATTTTTATCGATTTTTTGCAGAGTTCACCTACAGGGCTGGGAGTTGGCACAAGGGGGGGGGGGGTAATTGAGCACGCTGATTTCGAATACAATATCAGTTTTAAGAATTCGATTACTTTTTCGATTTTATTGATTTTTTGCAAAGTTTGAGCTACAGGGTTGGGAGTTGGCACAGGGGGGTATGTCAGCACGTTGATTACGAATACAATATTAGTTTTAGAATTATCCATTACTTTGATCGAATTTATCGATTTTTTTGAAATTTGAGTTGAAGGGCTGGGACTTGGCACGGAGGGGGAGGGGGGCTTAGTGGGTATGCTGGTTTCGAAAACAGCACAGGGAACGGGAATGAAGTGTAGAAGTGGGCACAGGGAAAGGCTGTACGGGGATAGGGATTCGACCTTCATTACAGTGTTGTTTTGACACGGCCGAGCGGAGCTGGGTAAGCAAGCTAGTTTTTTGATAATATCAAAATTCAAATATTTTTGCGACTGGTGACTTGGTGATTATTGCAATAGATAATTGTAACAGAACTTTCTTTTCAGCGAAAGTGCAGGAATGAGTTAGTTGAATTAAAAAAGTAGCGACGTTTTCATGCAAGATCCCATTTAACAAATTTACTCAACTATTTTTTTTATCAAACATCTCAAAAATTTGATGTGGAGGGCTGCCTGTGCCCCAAACATGAGAAAAGAGCAGGTCCAAAAACCGTACGCCAAACCGTGTATACACGCGCTCGAACAAGCTTCCGAAGCCCCTTTCACTGTCAGAGGCGGCATGCCGCAATTCCATAAACATGATGCGCAACGACTCTACGTCTTTAACCGTGGCGGGTAGTGTTTCACCCGTCCAGATTTAAAATCAGGAGCCTTGGGAAATGCTGCTTTTTGCTATTTTGAGCTCTACAAGGTGAATTTGCGCTTCAGCGCGTCGAACTGCTCCAAGTAAGCAAAAAAGGGTACTTCTCCCTTGTCCCGACCCATTTTTTCAAAGAAGAATATTGCTTTTTTCCTTGTACCATATTTGCCCTATTATTGATGAACAGACTGGACTTGCTCAGAATAAAGTGTGATAGATTCTCATCATTTTAACGGCGAAACAAGGTAGCGAGGTACTTTACCATCATTTACAGTCCTCCTCGAAAATCGCATGGCGGACAGAGTTTGAAGAGAAAGTCAATTTTGATCATTCCTAAAAGCAATAAATGTCCTAATATAAGTTCTAAACTTTTTTCTCATACAGAAACTGTTAAACAGCTTTTAGGTGATCATAAATGCTTTTACCTCACCAAGAGTACTTTCGAAAAGAAAACATGTCAAATTGGACCAAAACGTGTCAATTTTTTTTCTGACACGTGGCAAGGAGGCGGTCTTCGTAGAATCTATTGAAAAGATTCTTCTTAAACTGAATAGCGCATTCATGAGAGATTTTGAAAAAATGGGTCTGGATAACGGGAAAGTACCAAAAAAAGTCCTCCAGTCGAGGATTTACCGGGCCACTGCCTTTAAGTTACTCCGTAAGAGCTTGAAAAAAAAATGATAGTAACGGTTTATAATAAATCCAGACACTTTCTTTGTAGACAGCGTGCTTAGTTGAAAACCACCACTCCTGTAATATCTGTATTTCCTGTCATTCCAACGCAGTGTTTCAGCGGCCTCGCTTTTGCCCCAAATAAAACGTAACCGCGAAAATTTATGTGAGCAGCGAGGTGGTGCCGCCAAACATAAACTAAATTTCAATAATTTATATAAAAAGTAACTGTACCTGTTTGTTTGTCCGTCGCATGCATACAAGGTGTCTAAACTGACATTTGATAGTTAGAGTTTTTCTGACATTTGAACATTTGATCTCTCAAAGCCTTATTGTACAAAAAGCTAACGCATTTCTTTGAACACACGTAGAGCTGGTACTAATTCAAATTCAAAAGATGGAGCAAGTCACCGTCGTTTTTCATAACTCTAAGACTACGGTAAAAATTTTAAAGAGTATTTGAGCCACTAAGAGTCCGGTTTTACTTCAAAAAGAAAACCAAACACTTGAAAGTTGTTACATTAGCCTAATCAGAGCCTTTGTCGCTAAATAAGGCTTTGGAGTTCAGCGCATGCTTTGTTCTTGAGTTACATGAGATAAACTGCAAAAGCTGTTTTCACAATGCTCTCTAAAATTTTGATTGCACAATTCAAAAAGAGTCAAGAATCTGCAGAACAATGAAGTCAGTGCGAGTGAAGAACTGAGTATACAACTTATCTATCTCGAAATTTTCTATGGAACACGGCTAATCCATAGTGATGCGTAAGCTTGAAGTGCCCACCGTACTGCCACAATAAAGAAATCGAGAAATATGAGAAAACAGCTTTGACTTAGCATTACAGAATAGCGCGGATCAATGATAAATCACGAAACGCTGTAATTCTAGATTATAATTCTATGTTCTTTGTCATCGGGGCAATAATAATGCCGGCGACAACATGGTACTCATTAACATGCCAGAAGGCCCAAAACGCAAATCACTGCACCGTTTTAGCTTATCGTCGTATGCGTACAGTGAGCATAACGAAAAACCTCTTAAAGCCTAAGGAAATTATTTCCGTAATTAGCGTGTCAAATGGTTCCTGTGAGCCAAGTTTCAGCGAAGCTAGGTTCCCAAATATTAGGCCACCCAAGTAAGTTGGTTATCTTCTAGCAAGCTAATTTTGTTTCAAAGATGAAAGCAGTTCTTTTAAACGTAAAGGCACGGTCCAGGCACCTCTACCCCCTACTGTGTGGACGACTTACCTCGACCTGCAGGGCTACGCGCGGGAACCCAGCACGTGGGCGGTGGGTCCGCACGCAATGCATGCAACGCGACACAAGTTGTCTGTCAAGTACAGTAGCGAAGTTTGTTTGGGGGCGAACATTTTGACCCCGAGTGCATCGTCTCCTTTGTCGCTTCGCTTGTACAATGTTTTAGTTAAGGCCCCAAAAACTGTTTCCAGATGCAACTCCCATGTGTCCACATTTGCTTAAAAGCTGCTTTGATACAAAGTACTACTACTTTTTTGTTCACTCTAGGATTCCTTCAAATAACCTTAGAATTACGGGATGAGCAAGCATTTTTTCTCCCATATCTTACTTGTAACATCCTAGACTGAAGAAGACCAATCAGGCTCAAATTACTTGTATAAAAACTACGAGGATTAGACCATCAGTCATATTTGTTCTCGCCATGCTTCGCTCGCATTTTACGTATTGGCGCAGACATAGCATATACCGTAGTCCAATATCCAACACTTTCGCAGCATTTTCCATTTGCATAGGTAAGAATAACTGACTACATCTTTTTTTGAGAGAAACAATTTCAAGTAAAATTTCTGCTATGTAGAAAAAGAGGTTCAATGTGCATATAAAAAGACTGATATTTGAATGTTTTAATGGTAAGTCAATTGGGTGTGGCACAATCCCCTAAAAAGACGTGGCAGCCACAACTTTTTTGGGTGTGACACACCCCATTGAATTAACTCCTAAGAAAATTTTGGCGAACAAAATATACAGATTCGACAACATGAATCTCGTAAGTAGTTTTGGCTTGCTCCTAGTTCCGCACTTTGATGGTTTGGATCAGAAAT